ATTAAAATTAAGATAAAGAATTGCAAGATCCATAAAAGACAATGGCCTCTCTTTGTAGAATTTATTCCTAAAAGAAGAGGTAATGTCATAAACATACACATTTATTCTAATAGTTACTTATATGATTAAATAAAAGTAGATAAACATAAATTAATTTCATAATATCTTATAGAAAAGCTTCTTAAAAGCTTCATAGATGCAATTTTAATTTTATATGTGTTTGTAGTTGATTAGTAGGTTTGAAACTTAGCCATCAACTTAACCACGTACTAGAAATATTGGTAGTTTATAGAACAAGCTAACTCTGTGGCGTATATATAGATAATTTGCCTTCCAAGTTAAAACATATATTTAGCAAAGTCAACACATGTTAGAAGTCTTATAGAAGATTGGTGTATAGTTCTTAGTTAGAGAGAATATATAGAGGCAAGAGTAAAGCCTTCTTTACTCTTGTTAATACCTTTTTAGTCCTTAATCTTATTTCAAGACTTTTTAGTCTTCTTGTCTTTGGCTACAGCCATTTTAATTCAATATATTATCATCTTTAAATGATTTTTTAGTCTTTTTGAGTAATGTGAGATTATATTGAGATTTTCTTTCTTTGAGATTCATGTCCTTGATACACTTTATATACTAATTATGGATTAAAGTACTCATAATCATTTTCATTCATATGACCAAATTTTAGATGGTATATTTATCAATTTCAATTCATCTTTAATTGTTACATGGGATCTTTGTCAATAGCTAAGTATATAAAGGTATGTGAGATATTAGGTGGTGTTTGATGGTGAACAATAGAATCTTTTTTACATATGTGGAGGTTAATTTTACTATTAATAGTATATTGGATGATACCTTTTCTTCCTTTGTAAGAAGAATCTTTCTTTATAAGACCTTGTGATTATTAATTTCTATTATAATTATCAATTTAATAAAATAAAATCAATTTATTTCATAATATATGATTTTATTATCAATTTATCAATTTATTTCATATATCTTAGGTTTTTTTAATCTTTGTGTGATAAATTTTACTTAAATTTAATTTTTTTTTTAAACTAAATTTAAGTATTACTTTAATAAAATTTAAATATATAGATTGTTTTGAAATGTTAATAAATATTAATTAAATAATGACTTTAGATACATCATTGTCACTTTTTTAGTATGAAATAAATTAATGATTAATATCACTTGAAGTAATAATCTTCTATAATTTTTCAAATGACCATATGTAATATTTTTTCAAAATTTTTTTACTAATATATTGTGAAATTCTACTCTATTTGTAAATCACTCATAGATAATTGCAAGTCAAAAGTTATCATTGTGGTACATGTATTGATATTATGTTCCATTGACTTGTACTTGCTGCAAAAGCACTTTGTTGATTTTACTTCTATAGTTTAAAAATGTGATGGAAACTGTTGTGTTGTTGTTTTTACATGCATATCTTTTTTAGATCTATTTCTTACTCCTTATAGCCTTTCTTTTGAGCAACCCACTTATAGATTTTTTAATTACATAGTTATTATTAAAAACTCAATCAATCTTTCACATAGATTCTCTTATTGGTGAAGAACTAAAACATCAAAAGTGCAACTAATAGCAGTATAAAGTAGTTGTAAACTTTCAAAAGAAAATAGAATTGTAGATATTATTAGAATGAATTGATTAGGAGTATTTACTAAATAGTATTGATGATGAAAATCAGTAATTGAAAAAACATATCTTCTTCTCAATAAAATTTGTATTTAATTCTTATACATTAGACCCAATGTGTTTATTATTATCCTTGTGTAGGAAAAATTATGTTTATCAACTTTTGCTCTTGCTTGTTTATAATGCTGAAGGACAAGATTAACAACATGTAAAGATACATGTTTTACAATATTGGTAAAGAAACCAATATTGTATTGATGAATAATATGGATTTTTTTAAAACTTTTTTGAGTCTTCAATTCTCTTGTTGTATTTTCAAAAAAATAAAAGAGAAAAATTTGAACTTTTTAATGGTCTTTAATAGAGAATTTTAAGTAGGATTTTAATGTTGAATACTGACCCTCTACTTGTGATGTAGTAATCCTTTTGAGGTGAAGTAGATTATTTCTCAAAGCTTTAACAAATCTCTTCTTGTGTGATATCCAAGTATTCTGTAAGTACTCAATAGCGACATGAGCAACAATAAAAGTGTACTTATTGCAAAGTTTAGTCCACTCTAAAACAAAAAGCTTTAGGGAACATGCACTAATTACAATGGTCCAATTTACAAGAAATGAAGTCCATCCTAATTCTATTTCGTTTGAAAATTATTTTTTACAATTTGTTAGTACATTTTTTTGTAAATGCCAAATAAAAAGTAACACATTTAAAGTATGAAATATTAATTCAATGATATTTATTAATGCTAAATTCCTATTAGCACTTATGCAAATAGATTGAATTTCTCCACATATTTGCTAAAATTGAGTTAATGCCTAAGAAAAGAAAGGTTTTGTTTTTTTCTTAAAGAAAAACAACACCAATGATAAATGAGATATTGAAACTTGTCATTCCTACAATATGTAACATTGGCATTCTAAATCTATTTGATTTGTATATATAATCCATGAAAATAGAATAATAGTATCTTTTTCTAAGTTGAACACAATCAATATATATATATATATATATATATATATATATATATATATATATATATATATATATATATATAATAAACTAGTAATTTTATCTTCTTCATTACAATGATGAGTAAAATGGTAATTAATACCTTGTAAAGTGTCCAAAAGACATATAATAGGTGATTGTCTAGCAAGTGTAATACAACATAATTTTTGCCATTCATTGTAAATAATTTAAGGAATGAATTTGTTATTTGAATCACTCTCATGTAAGGCAACAACAACATTTTTGGTGGGATGCTTGCAGCTAGTAATTGTGAAGTTAATTATTTTTTGGCTAGTTGCAAATAGCAAGTATATGGATGGCCTATAAGAAAAGAAGTTGTTCCATAGTTATGAAGAAAATTTCAAACAATCAAATGCCATTGAATACTATTATACAAACAATGAGCATGCAATGCCAATGGACATCATGTCTAATATCTTGCACTATTTTATTTGTGAGTATGACAATCACAGTAAACCTCTCTTGTGTCACACTTATAATCAATGTGATTTTTCTCAGAGCACCATTTGTATGCAATATATTTTTGATTGTGTGCAAATACATCAATACTATGTTTTATTTCTTTTACACTCTCAAAATACCTCTTTGGTGGTGCATACATATATCTTTCACTTTCTATTACAAAATGTATTTTTTATTTTTTTATTTTTTTTATTTTTATTCATTTTAAATGTACAATTTCTTCTCTTCTATCTACTAGATATAATCTAAAAAGGAGTATATACTAGAATAAGATGAAATAAATTAAGTACATACATACTTATATGGCAATTAAGAAAAGAGGAATAGAAAAACGTTATTAGTAACCATTGCAAATTGTTGAGAACCATTGTAAATTAAATCTAAAATGATAGTTTTATTTATCTGAATGTAGATTATGGTCTTAATGATGAAGAAGATTTGTACTATTTATGTGCAAAATTGTATTGATAGATGGATCACTTTAATAAAAATTTAGATTGCTTTATCATTTTCTTAAAAATACACTTAACAATAATGTAAAATATGACATTAGTTTTTCTTTATTTTTTTGAGTCTACAACAATTTTCATGTGATTTAGAATTTTGCAGAAAGATTTAACTTAATTAAAAGGTACAAACATCCATAAGGCTACATGGCAACAAAATTAGTTTTAGACCTTAGATTTACTATTTTCACTTACTTCTTATTTATATTTTGTACTCTTTAGAAATTTATTTACAATGATATCTTTATATTTTTAATCAAGTATAAAATATGTTGATAAAATTATAATATATGTGTCTAATTATTTTACATGTCAATATATCTATAAATTATTTTTATAGAGATAATTGCATAAGAGAGATGGAATACACTCATGTATTTTAGCTTTAAGATGATTGAAGATATTGTAATATAATTTAATAAATTTAATGTGGTATATGAAATTAAAAATTGGTATATTTTTCATATAAAAATGTAGTTTTTTTCTTTCTTTATAAATAATTATTTAATTCATTAAAAATTCAAGATAAATTATATCTATGGTAGAATATTGGTTTTACTATTTTTTCACTTGTAGATGATAATTTTAATATATATATATATATATATATATATATATATATATACATATATTTACTTACAAACAAATTTAATAAGAAAATTAGTTTTAATAATATGTATTATTACATAAGTTTTAAATACAAGATGTTATTTCTTGATATAAGAATATATAATTCAATCTAAGTATTTATTTTGTAATCTTCTTTGCTTATGCTTCTATACATACAAGTATAAATTCAAATGAAATAAAATCCAAGAAAGTAATTAGAAAAAAAATTATAAATATATATATTTATTTATTAAAATATAAATTCAGATATCTAAATTTGTGTACTTAATAATTTAAAATATTAGTTTATTATGTTTGATACAAATAAGTATTTAGAGGCCCTTATTTATGTATATGGAAAAAGTTAAAGAGAAATTATTTAGTTAAGATTTGTACAATTGATAAACAAAGAATTTTCTTTATTGAATAATGAGTAGAAAAACATTTGATTTGATTGCAGATATTAATTTAAAAAAAAGATCTAAAATCTTTCCATGTATAATTGCCTTTTTTGAGAGAACAAAATATTTGATGATAATAAAGTTTCAATGCATTTCAACTAGGACCTTTCTTATGGTGTTATTTGTATTAATTTGATAATTTTTTTTCTTCAAATTATTTTCTAACTGAGATAAAATCTGATTAATTATCCTAGTGTAAAATCTATTATCAATAAAGTATTGTTACAATAAACATCAATTTTTTTTAATAGAAATAAAAGATATTGTAGAAGGAGAAATAATTATTGTGCATTCCATACCTTCTCTCATGAAACAATTTTTTTTTAATGTACAATTTTGCAACACATAAGTAATTTAATTATTTCTATAAGAAGAACGGAATTCAAATATGTACCTTTTCCAATTGTAAGTGAGATTTCTAAGATTTCTAGGTCAATCACATAGAGACATCCAAAGCACTAGGGAATTCGGTTTGATGCATAAACGATACGGATCTTGATTGTAGATCTCAAAATCGTCAAGGCGATAAGCAATCTACCTCCTGCAAACACCAGACCTGCTTGTCAGCATTGTGGCTCTTGGTTCAACATCGAAAACTAGATCAAGAAATAGCTAAGATACATTAGAATTTGAAATTCAAAGATATATTCGAGGCAATCTAAGAAATTTCCTGAGGGTGCTTGTCACTGAAAGTGGACAGGTGAAGTAAAAGCATACATGACCAGTTGACAATCTAGAGTCCACGTAACCAGTTGATAAGAGCCTTATGTAACATGTTGGAATACGAAACAATCCAGTGTGAAAACATACTTGATTTTATACTCTACATTTTTATGAGAGAGAGAAAATATGGGAGCGCTTCAGAATCACCTGTGAACCAACTTCAAGGCATCTGGCGACCCATGCCCAGTTAACAAGTACTTTTTCTGGATGTCAAACCACACTACAACCCGAGCAACCAGTCCGCCAGACAGCACCTCATTCCCAATCACCATCGAAGTAGCCTGCATCCTTCATCTCTGCGTAGTATGCTTCCTCCATTTGCATGTCTTCCTCTCGAAGGAAATCCGAAAGGAAAGTAGTATACAAGAGAGGCGGGTAAAGAGCGTAGTATGCAAAACCAGCGAACCCGTAGACACAGTATCCAAAACTGGCACCAAATCCCAAGAGCAAACTTCCAAAGCCTTCGAACCCATTCAGAAGGAATAAGATCATGACGTAGCGATAGAAGGACGGTCTTGCCGGTAGTCGATCTCTCCATCTCGTATAAGGGAGGGTTAGGATCACAACATACACTGCCGCAAAAAAAAGGTTGTGCAACAACCAAAAGCCCCATTTGTGCCAGTCTCCGGCATCATCCTGCGTAGTAAAGAGCGGAATGCCGAAGCCAAATATGTAGATTGCTTTCACCAATGCATCAGCTGTTGCGAAAATTCCTGAAAATAAAAGCGTACGAAGAAGTGCATCCCATCCGCTAACGAGATAACCCTGAGAAAGAAACACGACCACGCTCACCTCTAAAAGAACCAAACCAAACCTAGTGACAAGGGACATGACATTCCAAGCTGTTTCCTTATCATGATTACGTGCTTGTTGCATCTCAAGGAGACACCAACAGAGGTTGAGCACGCAAATGACCCAGAGGAAACTGTAGTAGGTTCTCATGATATGCGACCGGCTTTGTAAAAGTTTCCTTACGCTCAACCGCAATCGCGTGAGAAGGAAAAGAAGGGAGAGTAATGCAGGAAGAGCCAGAACCACGTTGTACAGCACTTCTCCAAATCCATTTGACGCGGGAGGATTCATCATTCTCAAACACATGGGAGGATCCCGTGGAATCTTATCATCGGAGTCGGGGTGGGACGATGGAACAAGATATGGCAAGCTGTCCATGGTTCCTGCTTTCTCAAAACCAATCTCCGAAACAGAGACTCCACTGCTCAGACACCTATGTCTAGTCAGGAGATTCCAACACACCTACACAAAACGCGGATCGCAAGAATAACCCTTCACAACCTCCTCGAAGGCTTCACGTTTGACATACGTCTCTTTCTCAAACCACCACCAATAATCAAACTATATCTCCCACAATCTCCTGCATAAAATGCCAGAGTAAGCTGGAAAAAACGCCACACAAACACAAGCAACCAGTTGACCTCGCACGTAATTACCCACCACCAAATCAAATCAATCGACGTAACCAAATGAAACAAAACCCTAATGAAAACACCAGCCAAAAACTCCCTCCTCCCTACAACAACCTGAAACGAAATCAAACAGAGGAAAATAAAAAAAATTCTTTCTTTCTTCCTTTCTTTCTCTTTTTTAAAGTGATAATAGTACGATTCTACTTAGGACATAGCCAGTACCGGGACGATTGAGGTGCAGCAGCAGCGGCAGTTGAGGCAGATTAATTCATAGCTACAAACACATGTGAGAGGTGAAGTGGCCATGGAGAGCGTTAGCTTGAGAGCGAAATAAGAACATCAGACTTCGCATCCTTCATTCATCCTTCATCCGTGACCAACACATCCAATGAATGTAAAGATAATAGCTACTTTATTCATCTCATACTTTCGCTTTATTCTCTCTCTCTCTCTCTCGTCGAGAACTTGGGAGGCGATGTCGCTGAAGGTTTTTCTCCATCCCCGCTTCGAGCTCATTACCTCCTCTATCTGCTGATTGAGAATTTCTTATAACTTCATATGTGCTTCACACGTCCATCCATGGCGAGGTAGCGCAGATTGTTGTTTTTTTGGTGTTTTCGGAGCTTGCGGGAGAGATCCGTGAGGACTTCGAGAGGTGCAGGTGGTTTTCTCTCCAGAATGTTTCTTATAATTTCATGTGTTCTGATCCAGTGGTCATCCGTGTAAAGAACAGCCAACGCATCCCATGCATGATGCATGGGATTAAGGGACATGACGGACGTAAGGGATTCTCGACTGAAAGAGGTGTGTGAAAACTTTCAAGTAATCGTGTAATTTTGACTGTTTGTTTATTTGCTTGGGTTTATATTTTTTTTCGTATCTACTTTCAGATGTTCTACAGAGTTTGAAGTTCACTCTTTGGTGCAATTCATTTGTGAGGAACCTATTTTTGCGTCTGAACCAAATCTTTCTCATCTCTTCGTAAAGGAAACCAGAGTCCGTCAGAATTCGAATCGCCCTGGGCCTCACGAGGCTGGTGCATTATGTGCCGTATTTTCAAGGAGAGGCTTCACCGTGTCTGAACTTATCCTGGGATCTCGACACCTTAAACTCCACTTCGAGGCTCTTGTGGTTCTTAATTCGATTGGTGTTAGAAACTAGGGAGTTTTCAAGTTGGAACGAAACTTTTTCGTTAGAATTTGTTGTGTTTCAATCCGTCTTTTCAGAGTGTCTCGACACTGCGACAGAGAAATTAATTTTACAGAGTTCAAGTAGGTTTCGCCCACTGTCACAAGATGAAGTGTGACATTGTGTAGCTCCTTTTACATATCAATGTCCTCAAGCACATGCAGCCTTCCAAGCTGTTCACCAGGTCTTCCATCTGATGCTGGAAGTAGTGCCATGGATCCGTAGAAATAATCTATTGTTGCTCTTTCCTTCTAACCACGATTTCGGCTATTGAGCAACTCTCTGTGAATCTCCGGGGTCACCTGCGCACGAAGAAAGGATTTCAACCACAAACACTCAGCCACTGCAATAAATGAACAAATGTACGTAAGAATGTCTACACTTTCCCTTTTACTTACAAACAAAGCAATTAGAGTTCACAATTCAACATGTTAAAGTCTTGTCAAAAAACAAATCCCACCAAAAGCATGACTCTTTTCTTCATTTTGAACATTATTGTATTCCCCTGAGCATAAAGCGAAATACCAAATAGTGCTTTTGCCTACGCATCAAATCCTTCAGCTTTCCCTTGTCTTCCTCACTAAGCTCATTTTTGTACCTGCAAGCATACGTGTGAAGGGCAGACTTGTGTAACCAAATCGGCAATTCTAAATCTGCATCAACGCGTCGAAGTGACGACGGAAGGTTCTAGACGTCACAGCGTGGACTAATTCATACGGTTACTTCGAATTTGAGCAGCGTAGAAATTGTAAAAAAGTTCTGAACAAAGTGAAAACTCCCAAAAAATAAAGTGCACTTATCATGCAGAAATTCTTGAGATTAACATTTTCAAACCTTTGATCAAATGTGAGAAGAGATCGGTGCCAAATAACAGGTGGATCTCGCTTATCCTCAATGAATCGCGCAAAATGTGCCAAAACCGAATCTAGAACTCTGTATGGCAGAGCGTACTTCTTGTCCAACAGAAGCTTCAAGAAATAGCTGCAAGGAAAGGTGAGGAAGAGTCATGTTCTGAAAGTTGCAAGCAGAAGAAACTACTAAAGACGAATTCATTTATATATATCTGACCGTGAGAAGTAAATACCTGTTCGTACCGCAATCCTCCATATCAGCTATTTTTAGAAGTGCAACGCTGTTCAGGGACAGAAACATTTCAGATTACGAAACTTCAGAGGAGCATTCACAATGAGAAGTCCAATCCCAAAAATGATTACCACGACCGAATTTCGGAATTTCAGAATTGAGTGATTTGTGCAGAATGATTCACAGATAATCGATTTGATTCATAAGTTTTGAAGTGATTCGAACATTAGCGTGTTTTACCTGGAATGCAAAACAGGAATAGGGACCTTTCGAAGTACGCTACCAATAATAACAGCTTCCCGCAAATTGGACGTTCTTGACTACAAGAAAGAAGGTCATTCAAATGCAAGTCCGATTATAAATATTTGCTCTGAAGTTTCGTAATACAAAATGTTATTGTGTAAAGTAAAATTCAGAGGGACCATAAATTAATGATTTCGTGGTCTAACAAATTTAAGGCCATCCAGGACAAACAACGGCATACAATGACTCCGACAATGACTAAGATGTATTTTCTCTGAGGAATACAGTGATGTAACTGTAAGGAAAAATTCAGAGGGACCATACATAACTTGGAAGAGTGGTGGCAGCAGGCCCTTGTAAAAAGCTGAGGGTTTATAGACAGCCATCTTCATAGCTTGATAAAGTGCAAAATGAAGTCTTTTATTTTCCTAATGTCGTTCCGAATTCGTGGCAAGAGCACCAAATTGTAAGAGCGCTGAGCCATACGAGCATTCAAGTTGGACGCGAAAACTCGGGTGGCCTGATACATTGCATTTGGAGATCATCTCTCGGGCTCCGTACGTCTTCCCAATTTGAAAGTGAAGGAATGATCTTGAAAGCTTTCGGTAGCTTGCCCGCTCTGTGTCTACTCAGCAACTTGCCAACCCTGCAAAGTACTAATTACAAATTTAGAAGGAACTCATCAGTCATTATCGTCACTGTCACTATCCATTCTCTGATCAGGAGCAGCTGCAGAGAAAGCTCTCCGTGTAGCTGCTGCCCCTGTTTCTTCATCCCTCGATAAAGACATACTCTTAGGTCTCTTGTGTTCAAACCTGAAAATAACTTAAAAGAGAATAATGAACTGAACAAGGAGACTGGCAGCGACGAGAAACTAGCCACGATTAAAATTTAAGTGTGACTTCAAACTTAGTCGGATGTACAATTCGTCAAAAAGTAAACCTCGATAATATTTGTACCCTGTTGGGCACTGATCACCCGTAATCAGTGTCGCAAGCATCAAACAGAAAGATCACCTTTCATTGTCAATTTCCAATTGATGCATTCGAGCTTCACCAAGAATCTGGTTACTCGTTACTGGAGACACGTACTGCAACCATAAAAGAAATCGATAAAATAAAAAAATTCATGCAATTGAAATTACCGAAAAAGAGTGAATAAACGCGACGAAATGGCCTCACCAAGACAAAAGATCACATTATGCTGAAAACCTGCACTAAAATCACAAGACACTATTAATTCATCTTGTGGTTGCTGACGACTACGGTTTCTTGGATGCCTGCGCTTCGGCGGCAAAGCCTAGTGACTTTGCTCCATTTAATCCCCCAACTAATTTCATATTTCTCAGGTCCGGCGTCCTTGCGCTTCTTCTTATGTTTCCAGGGACCCCTCATATTCACCTGCGTTGCCATTGCAACAAATCTATCTCATAAGCAAAATTCCCTTCTATAAATAGATTCTAACAAACGCAGGAACCTTACTCAAACACAACTTCCTAATGCCAATGTACAAAGCCCCAACGTCAGTTCTTCTCCCCACATCCAAACAAAAGCTCACTGCACCAAAACCAGCCAATAATCACATCCTCAGTACACCACAGATCAATCCAGCCCAGGGACAAGCCAAGAGCAACACCCTGCAGAACAGAGCTTGGTACCAAAGAAGGCTAAACCCTAAGCCCTTCCGTGAGATACGAATCCAGGCACCAGTGTGAAAGGATCCTCATTGAGCTGACATGGACAAAGTAAAACGACGAGCTGGCGTAATCGAAGGATGTACTCGTGGCAGTCATCTATTTGACGGGCCTTGTCATGGAGCGAAATGTGAAATATTTTCGGTCCCAGGCTCGGCTCCGTCCAAGATCGGGGGCCTGGTCGTCGTCTTCGCTCTTCCTCCTCGACGTGCTTATATCGTAAGCGAGGGCTCTGTTCCAAGCTTGCGATCGCGCATTGGGTCTTTTGCAAAGCAACTCTGCATCTATTTTAGGGGCATCGTTCTGCTCCTTTCGAAGGACCCATTTAGGTAAATTCCTCATATGCGACTTTGAATTCATTCTGTTGCTACCCTTCTAATGTTGCGCTGGTAAGTGTTCGGTCTGTGGCTTTCGTGGTTGTTGGAGAAGTCGGAGGGTTTTGCATTTAAGGAGGGGAAAGTGGTGGTGGGAATTAGTGAAGTTAGCGTATTCCTATTTTTAGTTTACCGGTGCTGTTGATTAGGGTTTCCTGGTCTTGGATTCTGAGTTGCCGATCGAGAGAGGGGGTAGATCTTGGAAGATGTGGTTCCTCTCGACAGCCCATCAGAGTGTAGAGAATTTCTCAGGGACTGTGTCTTTGGGCGGATTGAGGAAGGAGTGTAAGGAGGTCGGCTTATTTTGAATGGTTTGTGATGTGATTCTGGAAGTTCCCGAGCAGTTTATCGTGGGATTGTTAGGTCTCATCTCTTGAGACGTCTTCGCATGGTACATTGAGTTGAAGTGTTTTTGATGTGCAGTGATTGCGAAGCGTACTGAGATTGAATGGCCGCATCAGTACTGAAATTGCCCAGCAGCTAAGATCTTGGCCCGCGTAGCATGTTGTATTTCTTCTGCTTCCGCAACGCACAATCTCGGATCTGCATACAAGAATTCCTCACTTTTGGCTAAATTCGTGGGGACGTCTACGGTCATCTCATGATCGCAATCACCATTTAGTGGAGCATTTTGAAAGAAGCACTGCCGTCTTTTCATTGGTGAGTGAAGGCATGGGGAGAGAGGGTGAATGGCCAGGGCAACAGTATCAGCAAAGGCCCCCGCAGCCTGCAGGTTATGCTCCTCAGTCCATGCAGTCATACCCAGGAGCCGCTGGTGGCCCGTACGCTCAAGGGATGGCACAGATGCAGCCTGGCATGAGGGGTCCTCCTCCGGCAGGACCACCTTCTTCGCTGTATGGCAACACAGCTGCGCCTTTCAGGCCTCCCGGGCCTCCACCCGGTAGCGCCCCCCCCGGAGTTCGACCACAGTGGGGAGCTCTTCCTAGCGGGGTGACTCCAAGACCCTCTCCAGGTTCCGGTCCTCCAGGGCAACCACCGAACGGAGGTGCTCCAGGACAGATTGCTTTAGCTAATCGCACCTACGGAGATCCATCTCCGTCTCCAACAGGAAGTCCCGTTACAATGAGACCACAAACTCCACCTTTTACCAACCCGCCTTCCAACTCAGGCAGACCAAAAATGGGTCCTCCTCCAGGTCAGTGGCTTATGCGTATGTCCGTTTAGAGTCATATACAGTCCTAGAAGTGTGCAAGTATTTGACGTGATATTTTGAACTACGAGGACTAGAAACGAAGGTGGCAGTGTACCCCAGCACTGGAATCTATACAGACTCCAAATGAAGAAGATGAGTTCCTATCGACTAGTCACTGTGTACATGCTGCTGACAAGGAGAGGTCGCTGGTGGAAATGATAGAAGTGGATTAGTTGCCAGGCGTTCCCTTCAACAGCGGGGACCCGAAGTTATTCTTGGAAAAGTTTCAGGAATGTTGGAATGATTGTTGTATTCATAAGGCAATGATTTCATGAGTTTTATAGTTGCCGATACTGCGGCATGTGAATGTGCGGTCAATGTGATGCCGTAACTGCGACAGTTTTCATGTTGCTGCACCTTCCACGACGAGCATTTAAGTGGAAGAAAGAAAATAATGGTTGAGTAGCGTAATGGAATACGTGTGGTTCGTGTAGGAAATCTAAATCAATAAGTCCACTTATTTACGTGCTGTGACTTTTCCTTTCTGTTGCTTGACTTAGTGTCTAAAATACAGACTGGACAAATGCAACCTGCACCCAGAAGGAGCATGCCTTGATTTAGACACCTTTGGGAACCGGTTGCTTTGCAATGTGCCTTAATGATGGGAGGGATAGCCTGGAGGAGTGGGTGCAGTCACCGATGGGTGTCC